CCAGAAGTATGGAGAATATATGCAAAACGCAAATTGCTCTCTTTAAGAGTCATATAAAAGATATTAAACAATTGAAATAAAAAAAAAATTGTAAAAGATTGAAAAACTAACAAAATCTTTTAGAAAAATAATATTTCAGAAAACAGCAAAGTTACTCTGTAAAGAATTTTTTTTACTTAAGAGGTTTTTAAAAGTTTAGTTCTTTTTAAATTTTCATTTACAAAACTCGTTCTTTGCTCATAACAATGATGGAACAAAGTTCACTCCGTACACAATCTGCTTTTCCATTCCCCCCATAAACGGCCTCTCTCATCTATAGCCTCCCTTTTTCCTTCGCTTCGACTTTAAATAGAGGAAATCTCAGAATCTGGGCGTCTCAGTACAGTAGACAGAGAGCTGAACTCTGACCCCCAGTGCCTTAGTCTGCATATCTATATGCTGTGATTCTTTGACGTTAGCTTTTAACATTCAGCAGGAAACTCTTGCTCTACCTGAGTGAAGTTGGCCCCCCCACCTTCTTCAAATCAGACAAAATTAGTGTCATACGTTTGTGCAGCAAAAAGTTTCGTTTGTGCCGCTATCATTTTAAAGATATAAAGAAATATTTCTAGAGGTCATCAAAGGTCAACCAGCCCCCCCACCTTCTTCAAATCAGACGAAATGGGTGTCAATTAACTCAGCTCCGTTTGTGCAGCAAAAACAGATGTTAACTGACCTTTGATGACCTCTACAAAATATTATTAATATAGCAGTAAAAATGAAAATTTTTGCCATACAAAAATATAAAATTTTTAAAATAAATTTTAAACATAAAATATTTAAAATAAATACATAAAAAAATTTTAAAATGCATATTTTAAAATATATAATTTTTTTGTTTTATTTAATTATTTAATTCTGAAACTCTGAATTCCATATAAATTATAAGTTGCTAACCTATGACTATATAATTTTAAACTGTAAAAAATTGATAGCGGCACAAACGAAAATTTTTGCTACACAAACGTTTGACACCAATTTTGTCTGATTTGAAGAAGGTGGGGGGGCTGGTTGACCTTTGATGACCTCTAGAAAAATCTCTTTATATCTTTAAAATGGTAGCGGCACAAACGAAAATGTTTGCTGCACAAACGTTTGACACCAATTTTGTCTGATTTGAAGAAGGTGGGGGGGGCAACTTCACTCAGGTTCTTGCTCTTTCTCCTTGCCACCTTTTCAGGATGTTTAATAAAGTTGTATTGCTCTTTATTACTTATTTTACCCCCATAAGGATTTTTCTATGTTTAACCAGCAACATTAACAATGGTATTATTAGGTGGAAGGAGGTAATAATGCAACTTTACTAAAATCTAAAAGGATTTATTTGCATTCTTCCCTCATTTTTAACTGCCGTGCATAAAAATATTTTTAGAAGAAATTAAATCTCAAACTAATGTCCACTGCTTTAAAAATAAATGCCATCAAAAATCAAAGAAAATTTAATTACTCCCTTGAAATATACATTTACTTCTCCGTCAACTAAAACGATATCAACATTTACTACTATGCCGCACAAAAGGCAACCTTTTTACATATTCATATATCTGTTTAGATATAGATATATAGATATAGATGGATATATGGACAACTTTTAAGCAGATTTTTGTTCCCCAGGGCTGAAATAAGTCACCAATCTGACGATGAACCAAAAGGCTTAACTCGTCTTTAAAGAAAAATATTTATATTTTTTTTTTTTCTTGAACGTTTTAATTTTAGCCACAACTGAATCTATAAGTGTGGTTTAATGTTTATCTGTTCAGGATACGAAAATATTTATTAAATACATGCATCGCGAGTCGCATTTAAATTTTTACATTAGTTCTTGAATTGATTAGGGGTGAGATACAAGTGAGACGCCAATGGAACAAGATAATTTAGATTTAAAATAAGATTGCATTGTCTTCTTTTAAGAGCATAATTATTTAATGAGTAAAAATGCTCATTCCATTAGCAGGATCATCTTATTTAACTGTGAAAATTAAGGGAAAAATGCACTTAATTAAAGAAATGTTGACTTATTTCTAGATTGTTTTTGCAGTGAGGGTCTGGTTCAGGGACCCTCTCTACCCTGGACCCGGGACAATTGAGTCGGTTTTACCCCAAATGCATTTTAAAAACTGAATCTCTCACAGGGGGGGAAAAAAATCTCAGTTAAATGTTAATCAGGGTTATTTCTAACAATATCTACCTGGCAGTATTTTTTAAAGACCTGTCGTCTTTTACCTCATCTACAGTGATCTCTCTATTTCCCTCCTCCTCGTTCTCTCAGTGCTGCTGCCTACATATTCCTTTCAACCTCTCAGCCATCATTAGCTCGGCTTTTTCCATCACCATGAAGCCGATAAGAGAGGTAGACTTTAGACGAAGAGGTAGAAATATTACATTTCCTGTTAAAGCCAGTAAGTCATTTATCACATCACCAGCAGGTTTAACATGTTTCCCCCGTGTCCCGCCTGCAGGATTTCCGCCTGTGGCGGCGAGTTAAGTATTGTTTGTGTCAAATAAGGCTCTAATGCAATATATTTTTGATTAACTTGTCTGCCTTCTGTTCTCCAGCCGTGTTGGATAAATTAATCAATCTCTTGTAAAGCTTATATAAGGAACCTCCTTATGAATTTAGTTTTTTTTTTTTTTCAAAGAAATGTAGCCTGTTTCTCTTCTTTAAAAACGGATTTCAGCTTTCACATTACAGGTCTGCTGATGTTCTATAGAAGGAGTCAAATGATCAAAGATTGAGAAAACATCCATCTTTGTGGGATTATGTCTAATATGTTGTAAAAGAGGCCTTTGAATGCCTGAAGGCTCAGTTATAGTGACATGGAGAAATTAGCTGTATGGATGTTTATATCTAAATAACACCCTTATGTTGTTCTTCACATGGAGCTTTCCACGTAATTACGAATGTTTCTAGGTGTGCAGGGCGATGTGGGTGCTAAAAACAGCTTATGTTATGTGAACAAACCTTTCAGTATAAACCAGGCTTAAACCATGTTAGATTTTCATGCAAACTGTGGTGTTAAAAAGTATTCCGAGCTAACAGGTGCAATTTGGAGGTATGTGTGCTTCCACATGGATGGGCCCCCCTATTGTTTGGAAGTGCATATGATTCACATGGAAATGCACTCAGCGTTTGGACTGTTGGCTCTTTATTTCACCTTTGTTTGATAGCAGAGCAGAAGTTCACATGCAAATATTTTAGTGGAGCATCTAGGGGCATCGGGAGATCCTGTAGCATGTTTCCATCTACAGTTATCTCAGGAACTGATCTTCTGTCTTCACCCACAGGGAGATTTTACTGCGAGCAGCACTCTGAGGCTCTGCTGCTTCCAAATGGGGTTGAAACCTCACCTGAGGTGGGTCACAAACTCTTTGAATCCTTCTTTCTGTCGTCGGTCTGCAAAGCTTTCCATTTATTTGCCTTTTTCTGTTATTAGGGCATTAAAGAGGAAATGGAGGAAGAGAACGAGCTTTCCAGTGAAGGGTATACACCATCTCCGTCCGATGAGGAGTTTTTCCTTGATCCCAAACCAGAAGGATCAGCTCAGAGTGAACGTGAGGCCGCAGTAGAGTCGAGCGCTTCACCTGAGCCTGCAGCTAAGCACGAGGTATCGGCGCCCGAGTCGATGCCTTTTCCCGTTCCAAAGCCACGCCATGTGCGTCAGACGACTCCCAACTCCGAGCCCTCCCCTCCAGTGGCGAAACCCCGCAAAGTCCTGTTGGCTCCACCAGCCGCTCCAGAGGAAACCTTAGCAGTAATAGACTTCTCTCTTAAGCCATCGCTGCGAAAGCTTCAGCTGTCCATCGAGGAGAAACATGAGCTCGGGAATCTGCAGAGCTTCAGCGCAGACTCGGACTCGGAAACCCAAGGCGGATCTTCCTCCTGCTCCTCTTCCTCCGCGAATGCGTGCGGGCCTCCTAAACGAGAAGGGCAGGACGGACAAGAGGAGGACGGCTACTGGAGCGGGAGCAATGCCAGTCTCATCCGGGAGAAGAAGAATCGACACTGCTTCAAGAGGAAAGAGATGCCGAATGGGCAGAACCGGGTACGGTCCAAATTCTCCCCCTGGAATCTGTCCTCCCCGAGGATCAGCAGGGACGCCCGACTCAGCGTCCACGTCAGTCAGCCCGGCAGAGTGGGTACGTCCAGCCCTCATCCTGTCGTTCACTGTGGAGAAAATAAAAACATAAAAATACTTTGCTAAATATTTACTTTGCTGTTATAACAGAGACGACATTCGGACATATTCACAGCGCCTCAGAGGATGGCGTTGATGAAGATGATGACGACGAGGACGATGATATGTTTGAAGAGGAAGACTATACCGATATGAAGGTAAAGGTGTGAGGAGATTACGCTTTAATGATGGTCGGCGCATTCAAAGTTATCCATGTGCTCAGCTGCTAGCGCCAGGATTGTTAATCTGATTTGGATTATCTTGGTGAAATGAAGATGTGGATGTTGTCTGTGTGTCTATAGTTTGAATCAGGGCCAGATGACCCAGTGGAGGCAGAGAAGTTTGAGTGGAAGAGGATGAAGACGCTCGAGCGGCGAGCCAAGATGAGCGTAATGGAGCAGTTCTGCAAAGCTCAGGTCTGTACGAAAGTTAAACATCTTTTTCGTAAATGGTAACTGTGTCTAGACCAGGTGCATCCTGGGAAATCGGATTAATCCTCCTCCTCTACATTACTCATCTTTTCACTGAGATCCTGAAAGTCCAGCAATTAAAATTCACTCTTTAAAAACTTAAAGCAGGCGTCACGGATTAGCGGACCGCGGTCCGCATCCGGACCCAAACCTGCTGGCTAATCCGGACCAAACCGGATTTAAAACCTTTAGAAATTACTGCATGTTGACCAACGACAGTGTCTAACTACACTTGCGCCGCTTCTCCTGTTAATACGGTAAAGCCATGGGGAGCGTCCGGCTCCAGGCTGCACGACCTGAGTGAAGTTTGCCCCCCCCCCACCTTATTCAAATCAGACAAAATTAATGTCAAACGTTTGTGCTGCTACCATTTGAAAGATATAAAGAGATGTCTCTAGAGGTCATCAAAGGTCAACCAGCCCCCCCACCTTCTTCAAATCAGATGAAATGAGTGTCAATTAACTCAGCTCCATTTGTGCTGCTTTGGCTTTGAATATATTAATGAAAATGTAAAAGGTCAAAAGGTCAACCAGCCCCCCCACCTTTGAAGAAGGTGGGGGGGGGCAACTTCACTCAGGTAGGAAATTCTCGGTAGGCAAGAATTTGTTTGCATTTATCTGTCCACCAAAACTCAATTTTAGGGGCATCCATAACTAAGAAATGCGAAAATATTAAGAATATGTTTAAGAATTCCCTTTCGTTCATATTTCAGTCCATTTTCTCATCAGTGTGCGAGAGGGGAGGTATTTCTTGGCATATCAAATGGTGAAAAAAAAAGCAAATTTTTTTTGGGAAAGTAAGGATTTATGAGCGACGCAAACAGTAACTTTTAAACGGAGTGTGCACGAGGAGAACTGGGCTCATGCACGCCCTTGTAGGCGTTTAATAGCAGTTCCCTCTCGGTAGCGAGTACAGGGTGATGCATGTGTATTTTTTTTTTTGTGGAGAGGGCGTTTCTTTTAAAATTAGCAAAAATCCTCCATTGTACCTTTAACTTGATAAATTCTGCTGCAATGTCCAAAAAAAAAACAAATTTGCCTTTTAATGTTTTCAGTAAAAAACGCTAAACTAATGTTTCTTAAATAAGAGATGTAAAGCTGAGTTATTTAAGGGTAGATTGGTAATAGAATGAAAACCCTCCTTATGCTGGTCTCACCATATAACTGGCTGTAACCTTTTACAAAGAGTGTGTTGTTTTTAAACCAGGGTTCCCGCGGGTCCTTAAAAAGTCTTAAAAGGCATTGAATTCTTCAAAATAACACTAAGGCCTTAATTGGTATTAAAATGTCTTAAGTCAGTCTTTTGTAGGTCTTAATTTTTAAAACGTCATAAATAGGATTATTTTTATTACGATTTATTTTTGTAATCTAAATAAAACGTTAAAAT